AGGTTCGTCCTTCCCCTGCTTCACACTGGTGAGCGATGTGAAGCTCTTCTTGGGGGTGGTGCTGGCGGCGAATTGCGCCATGAACTGCTGAGATAGCTGCTCATAGTTGTCGATGGATCCGGGTCTCAGCTGCCCGAACCACTCTTGCGCCGGGCCCCTCAAGGTGCTGAAGAAAAGCCGGCAAATGGCCTCATCGGATGCTCCCAGCATGGAGAGGTTCCCCTGGAAGCTGATCAAGTGCGCCTTGGGATCACCGGTCCCGTTGTACACTATCCCTCCGGGCGGCCTGCAGTCCCGAGGGATCTCTGCGTTCATGACCCTCGGAGTGAATGGTGAGGTGAGGGAGAAGCGAGGCGTAGCCGGGGTGGCGTCCGCCCGTCTGTCTATTTCGGCTATTCGCCGTTCCATTGCCTCTAGCCGGGCCTCCTGTGCGGCCCTTCCGGGGGACACAGGAGGGGCGGCCTCGAGCGCAATGTTCCTTCGTGGTGCAACCGCGTCGGGTTGCCTTCGGGTGATATTGGCGCCCCGCCTCTGGAAGCGGCGTCCAATATTGCTGGCAGCGGGGGTGATTGTTGTATCCTGACGTTCTGAGGGAGCACCTGGCGTGCGCCCCCGATGATCGTCCTGCCAGCCATAGTGGGGGGTAGTGACGCTGGTGTGCCCCCTGGCTCTGTGGGAGGGCGGATTTTGGCCCAACCTTTCGTGGATGGGCGTCCGACGCTCAGCAGATTCCGCCGTTTCATCTAGGGATTGCATGTGATGGATCGGGGAGATGGGTGTCCAGATTGTGTTAGCTGAGTACACCTCCTCATCTGCCTCCTGTTCGTCCGCCATTCGGCGCATAGTTTCTGCCAGCTCCCTCATGAGTCGAGGGTCGCGTCTGGCCTCGTGGGGGATGAGGCTGGTGAGGCCACCCTCACCCCCAGTAGTTCCCAACGTCTCAGAGCGTTCCGTGGTTTGCCCGCGGCTCCTTCGTCCGCGAGACAGTTGCTCGGAGAGGTCACATTGTTGATTGCTTCTCGCCATTGTACTTGCCGTGGGTAGATTTAGTAGCTGTTTTGGGAGAGTTTTGGAAACTTTTAGTTCAGTTTCCCACAGACGGCGCCAGTGTTGAGGTTTATTCCTTCAACCCTCGGGTCCAACACGTAAGCCCAAGGATTTCGAGTGGAGTGTGTACGAATATCTAGCCCAACTAGCAAGTGATAGGTATTAAGAAACAATAAGTAGCAAGTAAGTGATTAGGTATTATTATCTGTTAATAACTCCCTGATACAATACTTTCGCTAAGGCTCGTCGGCCGTTCGTCTTACAAGGCAGTAGAGGTGCTGCGAGTAATAATGCTATAGCTAGAGTGCTAAGAATAGAAAGTTGCCAACCCTTTACAATGAAATAAATGCTTCTATTTATACCACCAATGGGCAGTTGGCTACGCTGACGTGGAGGACCGTGGATGGCTGGTGTCTCAACCACCAAATCTTCGGCATTAAATGCACTTCCCGCCAGAATCTAGGTTTCCCGCCTAATTAGTGGCGACGTTCGTCCAGCTGGGGAGGTGAGTCGGTCCTGGTGGTTTCGCAAAGGGTACTGGGTCGTTCGTCCCCTAGCCCTTGGGGGAACAAGCCCATGTGGATTGGATTGCCTCCAATGGCTATAGGGTTGTTCTGACGACGTCCGTCGTCATTCTGGGGGCCTGTGGGCCTGCTTGTTGTTGACTGCGTAGACGTTCGTCGATATGGCGGGTAAATCCAGGCTTTGGTGACAACGTGCGTCCCTTCCAAGTTGCCTGTTAGCTTAGCCCTCCCAGTTCTGTCCGGACGTCCGTCCGAATAAAAGGGGAAAATGGGCCGAACTTCTACTTGGGCCATTAACCCAACACAGAAAAACAACTTTTAAATCACAGAAACATAATTAGGTCTTGTTTAATTAAATTAAATCAATTATGCACAAGTGAGTACTACACAAGGATGAAAATATTACCTTTCAACAAGACTTGCCAAAGTACTTCTCACCATACCTTCAAACTTTAAACACTAACTAATTTGAATGGATCGTTAAAGTCATCAAATCTCACACCAACTGATTTCCGGTCATTCAAGGTGTTTTCCGTTGGAGCAGTGCCTCGTCAATTGGAGCAGCGCCTTGTCGGTTGGAGCGGTGTTCGTCATTTGGAGCAGCTACGGTCGGTTGGAGCAGCGTCCGTTGTTGGGAGCGGCCTTTGTCGGTTCAGCCTTAGTTGGAGCAGTGTCCGGCCACCGATTGTGTGTTGGGAGCTTCGGTTGTCGTTCGGATTTCTGAATGGCGGTTCAAAGTCGAGGGGGGTGCGGGAGTACGGGGCGGGAGGAATGGATGAATGGAAGAGAAAAGAAAGATGGGTAAAAAATTTGAATACAAAAGAAAGTGAGGTAGGGGGTATTCATATGGGGTACCAAAGGTGTACAGAATTTGTGTACACCTAGCAAAATTTGGTAAAAACAAGAGGTATTTTAGTATTTATATGGGGTGCTAAGGGTTTTGTGTACAAGCAAAATTCATTTGGTAATGCCCTTACAATAAATCAATGCAAACACACTCTACCCATAAATTAATTACTAAATATAATTTTGAATGTCATTTGTGTAGGAAAAAACATGATTCCAATGCACGAATAAGCGCCTAAGAAATGGAGATTACATATATCGAATACATACAAATATTGATACATCTCTACAACTTATATGATAAAAGATGTTTTTACTTGGACTGTAATTTGCTGGTCCGGTCTGGTTTGATCTGGTCTGGTCTAGTCTGGTTTGATAATGTTTGGTCTCTTTGTATTTTTTTATAACTATCCAAGTCTGGTCTGATATGGTCTGGTATGGTCTAGTCTGGGACGAATTACAGTCCAAGTAAAAACTAAAAACATCCACTCATTATATGACTCTTTTCTCCACATAACAAAAAGGATGATGAAAATATTACAAATGAGGTGATCTCAACCACTAGCGCAAGCAGACCGCCTTTACACACGAGCTCTAAAGGATCTATTGGGGAGGAAAAAGATCTTGTCCAGTCGGAGGAACAGGACCCGTCGTCTGGACGCCACCGTTTGGGGCGGTTTTCGGTGGAATTTTTTAATGAAATTTTTTGAGCATGTTCCTCATCAAGCCTCGTTTATCTAAAAAACGTTTCATATAAAAATTCGATCGGTAAGGCAGTCAACAAATTTGTGAAAATAATTGCGTTTTATAAGTATAATGTGGCGCAATTATCTTCAAAAAATTATTTGACTGTCTTCCCGATGATATTTTTAGCTGAACTTTAGTATGGATAAACTAGACTCGATGAGAAATATACTCAAAACATTTCATCAAGAAATCCCATCAGGAACTACCCCAAACGGAGGCGACCGGACCGAGGGTCTTGTCCCTCCGGTTGGACAGAATCGTTCCTTCTATTGAGGATAATAATCTAACTCTAAGAGAGTTACTTTACCATGGAACTCTAGAATTTAAAACTATATTACTTTTTACTTGGATGGTAATAATGGATAAGTTAATTTTCTCTTTTCTGTATGATGTTCAAGTGTACATGGATTGTTTGTAAAAAAAGGAATTTTCCGGTTGAAAGAGTTTTGACAATGTGTATAAAAACGATACAATTTTTAGTCATTTCGGAAACATTTTTTGTTTGTATCGGACATTTATTGGTTATAAATTGGATTTTTGTGATCCACATTTTTTTATTCGTGGTGTAAATTTAGAGATGAGATTATCAATGCAATTTTTTTCAAAACAATAATTTTTACTGTGTCTGATGTTATAATTCTAATTGTGTCAAAAGTTATAAAAGTTAATGTCATTAGTTCATATTTGACGGCGAAGACCACATTAACAATAATTCGGACATTTATAAATTCAAAAACATGGACACTACATTTCAAGGTAAGTATTTCAATGATTGAAAGTGTGATTTTTCTAGATTTTAATCAATTATCGTTGACTGCTTTTTTGCTAATGCTATCACTACCAGATTTTTCACTGGTAGGCTTTTTTGCCTACCAGTGACTATCACTACTCACTAGCTAGTGCTAGATTGGAGTCTTAGAAATAAAGTACTTCCCTCGAATTGTCTTCGAAATAGGGTTTTGCACATGAATCAAGAAAGTGAAAATTGTGTGATGGAGAGTTGTGTAGTGAAAAGAGAAATGTGCAAGAATATGTTAAAAATGTTGTAAACCACAATTTTTTTGCCAAAAAATAAAATTATTTTAGGACGAACAAAAAAGAAAGTTGAAAGGCAATTCAGGGATAGAGTTCATGTAATATCAGTATCGACATGAATGTAACAAAGAGTCACTTTTGAAAGCGACTATTGAAAAGTATTCAAAAGCGAGATAATTGAAAGTGAGATTTGTGTCAGTTGTTTAAAGGAACATAATCAAAAGCGAGATTCATGTGGTAGTGTAACACACTAGTCGACGTTGTACCACCACCACCCTCAAACCCAAACCACCACCATCACCAATCTATAACCCTAGGTGTGCGCCACGACCTATATGATATTATGATGCCCAAGTTGCCAGTGATTTAAATTCGTCTTTAGTGTATCACAACGGCAACGACAACTTTGAGCAAAAACTCACTTCAATATCCAACGATAAGCTTCAAGGGACAATCTTTAGGCTCCGCCAGTGAAAAAGAAGATAACTACAAGCACCAGTGGTGAAGATGTCGACTTCGACAAACAACGCACTTTGATTACCAAGGGAAAATTGGGAAGATTTCAGGCGACAAGACGACGTGGGATAGCAAAGTGACGTGGAGTAAATGAGTGGGATGTAAACCAAACCATTGTAAGGTGGAATTAGGATATTATTTGGATGGTTGGTGACTTGGTGTAACTCAATGGGTGGCCATCAACATCAAATATGCATAAAAACACAATATTATTCAATAATTTATTTAATTGATTCTCCGGTCAAATTTTAAAGTGAAATTTGATAGACATAATCTACAATTAATGAAAAACATGCTCATGAAGTTCATTAAAAAAATTCCACACAAAAGTACCTCAAATAGAGGTGGCCAAACAACGATTCCAGTCAGGGAACATTTCTCTCTATATTGCACCTCAGGCCCCCATTGCATAGTGAGGCTTACGCGATATGCAATAATAAAAAACACAAGTACACAATACGCAATTTTGATCCTTTCCTACATGTAACTTGTGTCATTAGATCAAACAAACTTTTTTTGGAACTAAGAGATTACAACGGAGGTAGTGTAAGTTTGATTCCCCAACTACCACTGCGATGTTGAAATCTTCGCCTACCCATACCTAAAACATGCTCAAGCTCACCATTGCATGTGTGAGAAATAACACATCAATTTTTATCCAAAATAACATACTCCGTTTATCACATGTAAATCTATACACAATTTTGAGGAAAATGACTCAAATAGAGAAGGGTTTTACGGAGTAAGAGATGCAAATCTCAACCAAGCTTTTGTTACAACTTACAATCCTCTGAACTATCTGTTTCCTATCCTGTGCCTCACTCACATTTCTGAATAGTAATCTACACTCTACCAACCACTCCAACCAGACACGGGTGATCAGTTCCAGCTTCTCTTGGGCCTGAAAATTTTGTGCAAGACAAAACACATAAGCAATGCCAGCCTCTGCCAATCCCCCACACAATCACAAACTCGTATTTCTTCTCCAAACTCATATTAAGTTTTTGGGGGTTTCTATTGAATTTCACCATCCCCACAACTATCTTTACTCCAAAAAATTGTACTGATTCAAGAACTTTTGTTAAAAAAAAGTTCTATGATGGTTTTAAAGTGACCAATTTTAAGTAAAATTCCTGTACCACTAGACGACAAGTAAGTTTAGCCAATTACTCTTTATAGTTTTTAACTCTCAGATAGTCAGATCAATTTTGGTATCATGTATGTCCCATTGCCCCAAGCCAGGATAAGGAGGGTGTTGTGGTAGACGCATGACGGCCAAGTATCACTTAGTCACAACACTTGACATGAATCGAAATATTCATGTATCGATTCATGTTGGCGGACTCCAAATGTTTTGGGATCAAGGCTTGGATGATGTTTATGTACTCTTTATAGTCTTGGAAAATGAAAACAATTGTAGGGTATATGTTATTGTACATGAATTATAAAAATAAATAAGTTCTACCTTTACTCAAAAGGATTGTTTTTTTTAGATGTAGTAATTCATATATTCTTTAAAGAGCGTAGGTATTTATACTTTCTATTCTTTTGTCGTGAACGCCAGAACCAGGCAAGAGCCCCGAACGCACAGCTAGCAACTGCAATTGCAAACGCGGCCCCCACCGGAACGACAATAGCATTTGTTGAAGATACCGGTTCCTCAAGAGAGGGGTTTTCGTCACCTCCAAGAAGTTCCCTGTCCCTGTAAAGACTAACCAGTGTCTTCCCATAATAAGTGACCAAGAACTTGAAGACTTCGTCTTGATCCCAGTTGATCAACTTGCTTTCGTTGCCCTCCTTTTTGGTTTGGCCAAGATAACAAGATTGACAAAGCTGTTGGGGTGGCCAAACAGCTTTTGGGAATTTAGGGTCACCTGTTCTTAGTGAGGCTTCTGCTTTCATCAGTCTCTTGTTGACAGTGTTGTGTGTGTCCCACAACCAAAGGGCAAAATCACGGGCTTTGTTGAACGGAGTAGAAACCCTGCCGGTTTGGAGCATGGATGGATAGTATACAATGAGGGGTTAAATAAATATCATGAACTTCAAATCTATAATGTTGACTACTCCCCATGAACATGAATTTTAAATTGACCAAATATCTAGCCAAATTTCAATCATAGCCAAAATTTAAGCACTCATATAATCAACTCTTTTGTTTTGGTCAAGTATGAGTGTTCGAGTTCCATGTACAGGACACCAACCTGACATGCTAATGAGACTCAATTACAACCAGGATTGATATTTGGCTAGAATTTTGAACAATGTTGACATGAACAGCCATTGCTAAATTATTTAAAGTTGTTGGGGAATTTAAGTGTATGATCTCTGATATAATCTTACCTTGAGCACATCTCATAGAAATGCTCCCTACACTCTTGACATATGAAAAAGTGGTGTATGAAATCACATGTAGTTTTGAAAGCCATCTCGCTTTCTGCATCGTCAACTCTTACGGAGAGGGAGTGTAGCAATACCCACAACCCACAACTGCATGGTAAATGAAGGTTATTAATCTTGGTTAAGAGGAATCAACACAAATAAAAAAAATTACTACCCAAGTAATTATGGAAATTAACACACAAATAATTGCCAGAAAACCAAAAAAAAACTCCTTGTCCCACTTTATAGGTCTTAATTGACATGTGATTAAATTTCCTATTTTCAGCCCATATTCAACAACAACAACATCCAAGCCTTAGTCCCAAATGATATTGGGGTCGGCTAACATGAATCGATACATGATATCGCCAAAAGGAAAAGAAAGGAAATAAAGATAAAAAAGATAAGCTATTATAAAAAAGATAATATAAAAGAGATGAATATACATATAAAAGATAAAATAAAAAGGAAAAAAATAATATTTATATAAAAGGATAAAAGGATTTAAAAAAGGGGGGGAAGATGATACAAGATCACTCCTCCACATGAATATGCGCCCTCCACTTTTCTCTCCAAAGTCATACGCTCATCCAACCCAAAAGGGAGGGGGAGACGATACAAGATCACTCCTCCACACGAATACGCGTCCTCCACTTCGTTCTCTCCCATATTATATTATTAATTTAGTTGTGGTTGGTACAAATCATAAAGGTTGTGCAAATGAGTCCAAAATTTATAATTATAAAGAGTGTATTGATAAAGGTAAAGAGCAGGAAAATTCTTAAAACAGGAGAAAGTGTAAAACATAGCAAATTTTCTCAAATAGGAGTGTATCATTGTTTGCTTCCCAAAATAGGACTTGTGAACTCATATTTAGGGAAACTTTTGTTCTTTTAAAAGGACAAAATAAGTCTCATTTTAGGAACAAAACATACTTAGTCTTATTTTGGAAATATGCCTATATTTTACTCCTATTTTGAGCAATTTTTTTAGGGAAAACTATCAAATTGCCCCCCGTAGTATTTAAAAAAATCAAGTAAGCCCTCAAACAAAAAAACAATCCAATTGAGACCTTAAACTTTACAAAATAGCTCAAATTTGTAATCTAGTAGGTTTATTCTTGGTTATCCAGTCATTATGCTGAAGTGGCAGTCCAAGTGGATTATTTAACTTATTTTTTTCCTTTCCACCTGTTTTTCTTAGGCCGCCCCCAACCCCCATCATTCTCCACCTCACCCACTTCTATCTTTTTCCAGACAAGAATACGGCATCCTTTCTCCCCCTGCTTCTTTCATCATCCAGGCAAGCAACAAGAGTCGGTGATATCCTAAGGTAATTTGTATTGCCTTGCCAATGACTTGTGTTGAAGACGAGGACCTCTTCGCCGACGAGGAAGCTCAAGAGCTCTGCCGCCCAAGTCGCCGGCAATCTGACGAGCTCATTTTAGGGAAAAGCTGTTTGTGCAACGTTCTTCTCAGATCTGGAAGTGGTCAGAGGTCTTACAGAGCACCATCTCCGACCTGGGTTGAGCCTCCGGCGACCTGGGTTGGTATCGGACTATGCTTTGTGCTCGCCGGCTAATGAACGATGTGTGGCAGAAGAAAGAAGAGAGGGTGGGGGGAAGGAGAAGAAATGGTGGGTGGATGGAGAAGAAGGTGGAGGAAAGGAAGGAGGTGAAGGCTGCAACGGACTGGTTGAAGGAGGAAGAAGGTGCAGGAAAAAGAAATCATCATCATCATTACCCCAGTGCCGCAAAGGCTCCCATCTACGATGGGGTAAGGGGGGGTCGGATGTACGCAGTCTTACCCCTGTACTAAAGCACCGAGAGACTGTTTCCGGATGACCCATAGTGAAATCTGCGTCAAAAATTGCATGCACTGACTATTGCTTCATAATAACGAAGCGCAGACAGTTTAGTGAGCTATTTTGCTTTATTCCATCATATTCCCAAGCCAAAAAATAGCGAGTCTTTGGCTTCATTAAAAATGATGGAAAAGTGCAGGAAAAAGAAAATATAAAGAAAGGGGGGGGCAACCGGTATATTACCGGATAAAAGAGAAGATTTGCCATTTATAAATGAGTCCGGGGGTTGGATTGAGCGAACTTTCAGTTCGGAGGCTTAATTGATTTTTTTGGAAAGTTGAGGGGCTTATTTGATAGTTTTCCCATTTTTTTATTATATTCTTATTCTAGTTGTAGTTTGTACAAATCATAAAAGTTGTGAAAATGAGTTCACATTAATAATTATAAAGAGAAAGAAATGATAAAGGTACATATCAAGTGGTGTTTAAAAAAGGAAAGTGGCCATAGTTGTGAAAAATAAAAAAGGCAAGTGGGACTCCAAGCATATAACAGTGTGCAAACATTTCAGCATGATTATCATCTCCGAAATCAATTACCTTCCACTTGATTGGGCAGTTTACGTTTCATAGTGCTAGAAAATAAAAAAGTTTCTTGCAGATTTCTAACCAATAGAAATATAAAATCAAGTATAAATGTGGTTAGGATTAGAAGTCCATGCGCACAGAAGCGAAAAATCAGCACATGAAAGAGAAAGGAGAAAACTACCACTTCTCTATGCACATAAATGATAGATTTTCAACACTAAGTCCAATACTTCACCAATTACCAGATGATTGAGTCATTGAGAAACAAAACTGAAAATTTTAGGAAGGACCCGAAGAGTGGAAGACAAAGTCTTCACTGAATCACTGCATCAGAAAAGGAAGAGAACCAGAGAAAAAAAGATATTGACCAATTGGAAGTGGGATTACGATCAATACTGACAAATTCAGAGGGAGATCAATTACCCAAAGAAGAAGAAATTTAATTTTGTCCATAGTTCTTGCAAAAGAGACTACTTATATTATAGGGGGTAAACTGCTTTCCTTTAAATGAGTATTGAATTATGCAACACTCCAAGTCTCTAAGATAAAGAAGATAATAGAACTACGGGACAAAATTTCATATCCAAATATGATATTACACGAGCATAAAATACTGAGGGCACATATCAATGACCAAGTATATAAATGCTTTGTTACCTGAACCCCCTGGTTTCATTTGTACTTCCACGACAAAACATCTGCAAAAAATGGCTATAGATTATTAAAACTACAGACAGGTAATTCAAATGTAAATTTGAGAGAAAAGGATAACAAGCATGAAATATTGATATCTATTATGTGCAACATAGGAAAGATTTAGTTGGATATTTATCAAAACATGCATAAAAAAGGCAGCCTGGTGCACGGATGCATCCCACAAGGAGAGGGTCCGGAGAAGGGTCCCACCACAAGGGTGTATAAGGGGCAAGCCTTACCCTGTCAAATTTTTGACAAGAGGCCGCTCCCAAGACTTGAACCCATGACCTCTCCGTCACAAAGCAACACCTTAACCGGTGCACCAAGGCTGCCCGGAAGGTGAAAATGGTTTAAAGTGCTAATCAAAACATAAATTGCTAGCAATAATTTAAGCAAAAGAAGACCTACTCATGAGAGCGAATGGAAAAGTAAATTAAAAAAGGTAGTCTGGTGCATAAAGGTTTCCCCGCAAGGAGAGGGTCCGGGGAAGGGTCCCACCATAAGGGTATATAAGGAGCAAGCCTTCCCCACAAGGGTGTATAAGGAGCAAGCCTTCATCAAATTCTAACAATGAGCCGCTCCCAAGACTTGAATTCGTGACTTCTTGATTACACAGCAACACCTTACGGTGCGCAAGTGCTGCCCCTTCAACACAGGCATGCTTGTGCTATATATATGATAGGAATCTGGGTTTTGTAGGCTATTAATAAGAAATAATAATATTAATAATAGTATAGGTACTTGTAGTAGTTTTAACAGAAGGGAAGGGGTTATTAGTAATATCTAGCATATCCATATTTGGGTATTGGCTATAAATAGAAGGGATAACAACGGGTGAGGCAGACTGTTATTTTGATTCGTGTGTTGCCTTGTTGCCTAAGAAGTCCCGGTTGCCTTTGTTGCCTACGTTGAGATATTTCCTATCAATAAACATCATCTTCCCTATCATTTTATCAGATCTGTGTTGCTTGTTACTGTATGTGCTCAGATTATTACCAGGTTCCTATCATTGGTATCAGAGCAATCGCTCCTGGGGATCACAAGTGAAGTGCGACTGCAGTAGAGTTCTCGTTTCAGCATCGTTTCTCGTTTCAGCATCGTTGTGAGGTAGCGACGTCAACTTAGCTCTCATTTTCTGAAGTGCGATTACTGCAGAGCACCTGCTCCTGGAGATCGGATTTGAAGTGCGGCTATACAGAACTAGCGTTTCAGAGGAGGAAGGTCAGAAGGAGAGAGAAAATGGAAAATCGCAGAGATACGTTGGGACGGGAGATGAAGACGGCTATGGCAAACCTCGTGACCACGTTGAATGAACAGATTCAGAGCACCATGGCGGCATTGATGGCGGAATTCGCAGCCTCTATAGCAGCGATGAAGGAAGATAATCGCAGAGATCGGGAATCTCAAAACCGGCCTTCTGTGTATCCCAGTTTGTCGCCAAATGCGCAGGTTTCTTCTCCTCACCGATCGACATCGCAAACCAGTTTCCCTGGATCGCAATCGCTAACAGCTGCGTCCAGTTTGCCGTCACCAACAGCGGCATCTCCCAGTTCATTGCGAACTGTTTCTACTCGCAGATCTTCATCTCCCTTGCAATCAGCTTCACAACGAGCCAAATCTCAACATCAACGAACAAAGGATTCTGAGCGTCTAGCTGCGTCGGAAGGTAATTATCATCATTCTCGCTCTAGTATGGGTCGGGATAGCGGTAGAAGAGATATTCCTACTGGAAGTAAGGTTGAATTTCCGTGGTTTAATGGAGATAAAGTAGACAAATGGATAGTTAAGATGGAAGAATACTTCCGACTCAAAGCTACTGTGGAAGAAAGGAAAGTTGAAATAGCAGAAGGAGCTATGGAGGAAGAGGCGTTTGAATGGTTTCAATGGTGGCAATTTCAGACGAGGGAAGATAGTTGGAAGGCTCTGAAGGAATCCATAATTAGGCACTTCCAGCCTACACGCAGTCTGAACACAGGGAATCAGTATACGCGATCGCAAAGAACTTCTCTCAGTTCGCAATCTTCTACGCGAATTTCCTCTCTCAGTTCGAAATCGCAAAGTTCGAAGCTATCATATCCTTCCGGTTCGCAGGGGTCTTCACAAGCAATCTCACCTAATTCATCAGCTTCATTGCAAACAGTTTCTCTGAGTTCACAGGTCCCTTCGCAAACGCGAACTGTTCCTTCCTGTTCGCATGCATCATCTCTAGGCGAGTATCCCAGTTCGCAGGACTCACAGCAGGTTTCTTCGCATATTTCCGCTTCTCACAGTCCACAAGTGGAGTCTGTGTCAGTCCCGCATGACCGCATCAGTCTGTGAGTCGGCTAGAACTTAACTCTGAGGACACACTCATCAATGGTGATGAGAAACGAGGGGAGGAGAAATCTTCTGTGAGGAATCAACTCTCGAGTGCCCTGGAATGTGAGTCTGCTGATGAGAACATTGCTGTTTCAAATATTTCTGAATTGGAGAACCAAGTGGTTCCTGAAATCTATATAGGTGCTGAGCTGATAAATGCATTCCCTGAAGGAATTGCTATACCTTGTCAGTCCATCTTAATATCTACTACAGCATATAAGAAGGCCAGGAAAGAAGAGATGGGTGTGAACTGTGAACAAGGAGAAAACTGAGAAAATAGAAGAGGGGAATGATGGAAAGAGGCTTCAGGGAATGATCCGCGCAGATACTGATGCTACTAAGGATTGTGATTTAGATCCGAGCTCTGAATCAAACTCCAGTTATCAGGTGGCACCAAAGAGGAAGTTAGTTGGGCATCTTTGTTAGGGACCCGGCCCAATTGTTAGGGACCCGGCCCAATAGAGTATAATAATAATAATAAAATGTATAAGTCTAGTATAAATAGAATAGGCTGGGAGAGGAGGGGAGGCTTTTGGGACTTTCGGTCTTGGGACTTGGGAAGACTAGAGATTATCCGTCTCTTTTCTTTGGGAGGCTTCGGCCTTGGTCACTGTTTACCCTTTGTAATCGATCATCCTCATCAATAAAATTCTTCAGTTGTTCTTGATAATTTTCCTGTAATCTCTGGATAATTTGGAGGTTCCTATCAATTGGTATCAGAGAAGTCGATTACTGTGAAGGATTTTGACGCAGGCAAAGATGGAAGAGCTTTGTACGCCAGAAATGGAGGAGAGGATGGATTCGATAGAGAAAAAATTTGAGGAATCAATTGCGAGGTTCGAGAAATTGAAGGCGGTGATGGAGGCTGGTTTTGCCGAGATTAAAAAACAGAAGAAAGATCGATCGAGGAATCGATCGCATCATTCGAAGAATACGGATAGTTCGCAAGGTTCAGATAATCATCATCGACACAAGCGACAGTCGGCGAGCTCAGAGGAGTTGGAAGATCTGAGGCGTTGCAGAAGAACGGAAGAACGATCGAGGAAGACCAGGTCTCTTCCGCTAACTGACGAACAAGGTTCGTCGCATCGCTCTTCCCATCGCCCTTCAAATCATCATTCGCAGAATGAGTCACGAAGGAGGACTCCTAATTCGCGTCCAAGAGAGTCGCGATCATCTTCATCGGCAGTTGAGCATCTTTGTTCGCAAAGTTCGTCACATAGCTCTTCGCAGAGCTCCTCTCATCGCACTTCGCATCACCGTTCGTAGAATTCATCTTCTGACCTCAGTTTTTGTCCAAATAAATCACCAGTCGATTGTCACTATATCCCTTCTTCTCAGATTGTCCTTCGGTGCTCACCAGATTTATCGCAAGAAGGTTTTATTCCTGCTCCAGAGATTCTTCCGTCCATAAAGAAGAATGAGAGAGAGACAAATGAATATGAACCTGAAATCAAGAAAACAAATAAGGAGGACGAAAGCGAGGAGCAAACTACAGTTGTAGGTGTCCTAAAGTCGCAAACTGTTCTTCAGGTTAAACAATTGCCAGATTATGCGTTTCCTAATCTTGTAGTTGATATGGATTTAATTTCCAGTATAGTTTCTATTACTGACCTGCTTATCCATCCATGTTCCTTTGGAAGTAAAGTCTTAACTGATTATGAAATGGGAGCAGTTAAAATCAAGAACGTTTCAGATGATAAAGCTGTTCTGATTAAAAGTCAAGAACCTAGACAACCATGGGAAATGATTTCAGAATACTCAGGTATTGGTAAAAAGAAAGCTGGTCCAGAGGCTCAGGAGGTTCATGTGGATTTTTTAGGAGAAATTGCGATGAGGTTGGGAATCTGCAAACAAAGTCATGAGGGTGACAAGTCCAGCCATTTCCAGCATTTTGGCAGAAGTTCGCCACAACTCGCAATCTTGATTGTTAAAAACTATTCAGGTTCTTTTCCTACTGAGGTGTCCAAATTGGTGCAAGATAAGTGGGCAAAGCCTACAGGTTATGAAATAATATTGAATTACCAAAATGAGGAAGCATTGATACAAGTTGCAGGAGCTCAAGAAGCAGAATTGCAGTCAATTGTTGGCAGCATGTTAGACTACCCCAAGCATAACTTACATAATTCCCATAGAATACCTGAAGGTTATCAATTGTTGGGAGACATCTCAGAAATGACAGCTCATAACCTATTACTTCCTGAGGGTTATAAAGTCTTCACAAGGTTTTTATGGAGGTGGAACCCAAAGAGTTACCAGCAAACTTCCGCTATTAGGGCTCCTGGTAGCATACAACCCTTGGATGTTCACATCTTACCTTATGTTAAGCAAATGGGGACTAAACCACAACAACATTTTGAAGAATTGGCTAAGGGCTGCTGGATAGTATCTGAACCGAATGAAACTTCACTTCAAATCTCTGCTATTGTTGAAAGTCCTGTGATTTTAAAAGATCTCATACTAAAGTCCCTAGTCCATCAACCAGTTAGATATTGGGAAGGAAGAGGAACAAGAAAGAGGAAGAGGAAGCAGAAGATTGTGGCTGTGTCATATAACCCACCTTGAGGGCAAGGTGGATGTTTAGGGAGGGAGAATTGTTAGGGACCCGGCCCAATTGTTAGGGACCCGGCCCAATAGAGTATAATAATAATAATAATAAAATGTATAAGTCTAGTATAAATAGAATAGGCTGGGAAAGGAGGGGAGGCTTTTGGGACTTTCGGTCTTGGGACTTGGGAAGACTAGAGATTATCCGTCTCTTTTCTTTGGGAGGCTTCGGCCTTGGTCACTGTTTACCCTTTGTAATCGATCATCCTCATCAATAAAATTCTTCAGTTGTTCTTGATAATTTTCCTGTAATCTCTGGATAATTTGGAGGTTCCTATCAATCTTACTATTTTGAAGAAATTCTTGTATATTCCTGGTGCATTGGGGACTCATGTTACTACATTAAGTAAAGAGGTTAATATTGCCCATATTGGAATACTTGATAGTGGCTCAGGACTAACAAGGGAACCTGCACTCATGTCACAAGCTGAAGAAAGAGCTCATGGACAAGAACAAAAGAATGCGGTCAACTTCTATATCCTTTGTGCAAAGGATGCCTCGGGTGAAGTCCATTGGCAGAATTTATATAAGGGTTTGCATCGGGTTTCACTGGCAGTAAAGGGAAGGTATGAGGCATTCCAGAAAATAGAGGATGCTCCGAGGGCTACCAAAGCTGGCAATTCTTTTCTGGAGACACTAGGTATAATTGAAGGTTCTCTTTCTGAAGATGATGGAAATGGATATGAGTATATCAATGGTGGACACCTGTTGACAACCTACACTGCTAAACCTTCTTCTTCAGTTGCTACCTTGATAGTGGCCAATACTGAAGGATTGTGGAAAAGGTCAAACCGCTGCTTACTTGTAAACCTATTGGTTGGTAAAGGTGATACGCTTGAGTCATTTGTTACTAATGGAGAGCCCTTGCAAACAGCTATGCCATCAGAGAATGAGGAATCAAGGTTGGTAAATAGCAAGTGAAGTTTTGGAAGGGCTGCATAAGTTTGATGGCTTCAGATTTGATGATAAAATTCCTGTGAAGTATGTCCGAAAAGGTGTGGGGGTAAGAACTACTGGAACCTGGAAGGAAAAGGTTGGTTATATTACTGGTGGATTCCTTGACATCTTCCTGGTGCTTGACAATGAATTCAATTCATCTATCCTCCAAACAGCCTTGATAATTGGTGAGAATGTAAGGAGAAGGCTGATAGGTTGTATACTAGTTCAAAGGGAGGGTGCAGGAAATGTTGAGGCCAATGCCAGCTCTCTTTCACAGCTTGCTTTACTCGAAGGGACAATTGCTGAAGCTGCAATGGGCCTAAGCGAGGTATTGATGAAAGCTGCATCCTACAGAGTGATATGTGTACTGGTTGGTGGCAGGGTGTTAGTTGATCTGATCATTACAGATCTTAAAACTTCAGATAAAACTGTGTTATCAACTGATATTGATTCAGCCAGTATGATCCCAAGTCTATTACGCAGGGATTGTGAGAGGGGAAGCAAACAGATTCTGATATTAATGAATTCTGGGGCCACTCTTAATCTCATATCTCAGAAATTGATAGAGGTGGTACAAAAGTACTATAAAGCAGCAGTAATGTTTCAAGCCAAGATGGGGAAAGGAGAGCATATATCACTCCAGAGCAGTTGTGAGGTACTACAGATTTGGGTACACCATCTAGTGATGACTGAGGACTCCTATTTGTTAGATCTTGGAGAGATTAATGTGATTCTGGGAATGGGACCACTAGCCAATCATGGAAATGCAGAGAAAATTTTCAGTAAACACAGCATAAAATGGTTGGGAGAGGGGCAGTATGCAACAAAGTCATTGTCTCTATTCTTTCTTGCTATGCTCTTTCGGGCTATGAAAGGAGTGACCATGAAGGTTGGAATCAGGAAAGTATAGGTTCAGAAATCTGTGAGGTATTGGGAAGGAAGAGGTGCAAGAATGAAGTGCAAGTGGAAGATCATGGCTGATTCCTATCACCCGCCTTGAGGACAAGGTGGTTGTTTAGGGGGGAGCAATGATAGGAATCTGGGTTTTGTAGGCTATTAATAAGAAATAATAATATTAATAATAGTAAAGGTGCTTGTAGTAGTTTTAATAGAAGGGAAGGGGTTATTAGTAAAATCTAGCATATCCATATGTGGGTATTGGCTATAAATAGAAGGGATAACAACGGGTGAGGCAGACTGTTATTTTGATTCGTGTGTTGCCTTGTTGCCTAAGAAGTCCCGGTTGCCTTTGTTGCCTACGTTGAGATATTTCCTATCAATAAACATCATCTTCCCTATCATTTTATCAGATCTCTGTTGCTTGTTACTGTATGTGCTCAGATTATTACCAGGTTTCTATCAATATATCCCTATGGTGTGTGGAACATATGCTCAGAAGCCAAAAATATTGGACCATAGATCATTTACAGTGCAGTCAAAGGACCAAAATAGCTAACACCCACACCACGCAATTGCTCAAATACAACAAACACTGAAAGAACCAAATGCCATTAACTTCTCACTATTAAGGAGCTTTACACAATTACACATACCCAATACCCGCGCGGAGCTTCGTTACCGCAAATCTGGTACTTCCCTAGAATGCCTTTTTTAGTACAACTGGGAACTTCTTCATTTGCTGACAAAGCATCAGACGGACATAGATCATCAAAGTTAACAAGTATATCTGCACAACCCCTTCGACATCTGTAATTGACAATTCCCATTGACAGGTTGAAAAAAACATATGTACCCAAATATACAGACTACCAAAGAGAAACACAAAAAATGCAGAGTTTAAACCTTCTAGAAGGGTGATGAGCAACCAAAAGTTGAAGGAATTTTACAAGTGATGCTCTTGTATCTGAATTTATCATCTGCATTTGCAGGTGAAGCAATATAGAATGTCAATATGGGTAATATGAAGAGAAATGAGAAATTAGAAACACTGGAAACTCTAGTATTTGACCTTGTGCCTCAAGATGATATCGAAAGCAGTAGATGTTGCCTCCTCAACATCATATACAGCTCTGGCTATCTTTCACAAGGAAAATATGAAACGTGCATAAGAAACTTACACACTGAAGAGACAAAGAACCAAATTCACATTCGTGTTTTTAATAACAACCTGCCCGGGATCTGAGATATTTGTCTGAAGCTGTTCATTCTGGTACTTTTCATCGTCCAATCCATATGAACTGAGATTTTAAAAAGGAAAAAATGAGGACATTCTTATATTCTTAACAGGATATTGAGATACTAAAAAGAGATTTGTTACAACTACTATGCATGAAATCAGAACTTGCTGATGGGCAAATGGTACTAGAAACAGTAGAAAGTGACCAAATGCATGAGTGATGAGACAGAAACAAAACAAGTTGATTACTCAGGGGAAAAGGAATACCAGTCCAAGAAAGGCAAAATCATAAACTAATATATACTTAAATACCCTCGAGGCATTGCAGTTGCCATATGTGACATTGGGCAGGCCATCATACTTTCCTTCCCAATAGAAGTACAGAACAAAGTTTTGAATTCACAAAAACTAGGCGACTAGAAGCCCCAGAAACTTTTTTTACCTTCCCAGTTTCTTATTGATCCACTCTAACAATAGACCCGATGTTCGCCCATCATCAATTGGAACTATGTCACTTTTTTCCTGCTTAGGCTTCCAACTTCCACCAACAAACTTAGTAGGAGGCCCCCAGAAAAGCATCGGGTAATGCCCCACAGAGAAATTATCACAAAGATTTGAATTTATCTGTGCTGCCAAGAAAGTCAAACAAAAACATATAAGCAATAAGGTAAAAGTAATCTCTGCATGTAACATAATTGACCAGACATTAGAGTAATATAAGCAACATTGTGGTTTGAATTCAGAGTGTGGCATGGCACGACCCCCCCCCCCCCAGAGAACAACTCAATGCTTTCACTGGGTCAATTATCTACCAATTGAACCCTTCTCAACCAAAAAAAGGAACTTACCTTGTTTGAACCCTTTTCCACCAAAAAAGTGAACTTACCTTGTTGATTAGAGTGAAAATCAAAATAGATTTGGCTTAACTACAATGTAAGTTACAAGAATAATTCAATGTTGTTTAAATCATTTTAAAGTAAAATGAAAGCAACTGAATAAAGCGTAATTACACAAATAATACAATAATATGAAAAACAGAAACAGTAAAAATGGATTTTAAAAAATGTTTATATTCACCAAAAAAAACACTCTTTAAATGTTCACAAGAACAGCATAAAAAACATGCACATAAAGCTTTGAAGAGAACCACATAAATAGATTATGTGGAAAAAACATTTTTCAAATAAAAAAGTTATGTATGTAAACTTCAAAGAGCGGTGATTTCCTGATTCGGAATGGTTTCCATTAAGAAAACACCCTCAAATGGTTTGTTCCATATCAGCAGCTTTTTTAAGTTAGAAACATGTTTCTAAATCAGATAAGTGTTTCTCGCCCCATAACAAACCTTGAGAGTTCACTTGAGGTTTCTCGTGCTGTCGTGCACACTTGTTGGTCAGTATCTCATCATCTCAGTTTCACAAACAGGTAGAGTTATGTTTAATTGTCACTTTATCAGACTGATATATGAAATATAAGTACTATTTTCTTCAAGAAATGGCGTAAGGTGTATTTTGCTTGTGATTATCGAGTGAACTGATTGAGTTATGAATTGTGTGCATTTGCAAGTTTAATGCTATATCTTTTATAATCAAGTTCCACCCATTTTTCTGTTTCTTTTTTTTTTTTGAAGAATGCTGCTTTGTTGCTTCCCATTTCCGTGCATCATAGAATAAAAATGAATGTCTCTGTGACCAACTTATTTACCAAAAGCATTCACTAGAGTGTAGAACAAGCCAGTGTTTCACTTTCACTAGTTCTATACTCAATAGCCTATGAAAAGAACACTGTTTCCACCCAAGATGGAAATTAGCTTATTGATCAGGGTGAAAACCAACATGCATTTGGGTAAAGTAAAATGGAAAAGGATCATAAGAATTAACCGAAAATGTTTTGAATCGGTTTAATGTATGATAAAAGTAACTGAAAAAAGGGAAGTATATACAATAATATGACAAAAACAGTATAAATGAATTCAGAGATTTTTAATCAACAAAAAAGGCACTTTTTACATACATGCTTAAGAGAACAACATAGATAACATGCACGTAAAGCTTTTAAGAGAAGCACAGTAATGGAATAACTCTAGTTCTATCTCAGTTTGACTTTTCTCTTCACCTTCACTTTCCCCCTTGGTTTCACCTTCAGTTTCCCCTTTGGTTTCACCTTTAGTTTGACCCTCAGGTTCATTTTTGGTTTGACCCTCGGCTTTATTTATTTTTTTACTCTCAGTTTTACCTTTGGTTTCACCCTCAGTTTTATTTGGAAAAAATATTGTCAAATGTCAATAAAAAATGAGATGCGTATAAACTTCTAAGTGCAGTGTTTTACTGATTCTGAAAGGTTTCCGAAAGGGAAACACCCTAAAATGGTTTGGGACATTATCCAGTTTTAAAAAGTTTGAAACCTATTTCCAAATCAGTACGTTTCCGGCTCCAAAACAGACTTGACAGTTAACTTGGGGGTTTCTCGTGCACACTTGTCGCTCAGTATCTCATCCTCAATTTCAGAAACCGGTAGTTATGACTTTTAGGATGTTTTTAGTAGGACTTATTTGAGTCTCAGACTAGATCAGATTTAAAAATACCAGATCAAACCAAATCAGACCAAATAAACATAGACAATAGTAAAATACACATAAAACAGACCTTTACCAGACCAGAAAATTTCAGTCCAATTAAAAACATACTCAATTACCGTACCAGTATATGAAGTACAAGTAAAGCTTCTATTACAAATGGAGTAAAATGTATTTCGTTTGTATTTATCTAGTGAACTCAACGAGTTATAAACTGTGAATGTATTTGCATGTTTAACCCTATATAGTTTATAATCAAGTTTCACACACTTTTTTGTTTCCTAAGTTTTTTATAATACACCGCTTTGTTCTTTCCCATAATAGAATATATCTCAGTCACTAACTGATTCGCCACAAACATGCACTAGAGTTCAGGGAGATTGGAAGAGTAACTCTTACTATAAGAACTACTGCATTAAGCAAATTAATTCACTATGGTGATGTAATGCTATAAAAAGGAAGATCTAATGATTATACAGTACAGAATGCAGTTACAAAGTTTTCTCTCCCTTGTGAGCATAGAAAGGAAAAATCAATGCGAAAGAAACAGTGAAGGTTTTCATGACTCTAGATTGTATTATCAATACCACTGTGTTTACCATCAGCTAAAAGATACAGAAGGAATTTCACAGTTGGAAATCAACTAGCCAGTTTATTATGTAATTGGTTTTTGTCTCGCACTCTCGCCTTTCTCCCTCCAGTATCTCTTCCTCCTTAATCTACTGTTGTTTTTTAATGTTTGGGAACAATTTAAGAAATCAGAAGTATAGTAGTAGTAAATAATAGTACCCCAACTGCACAGTCTACCCTTGTCATCAATATGATTCCTGGATGAATAGCATCTGCGCCATTAAATAGCCGGGCAACCTTCTCGTAATGTGGCTGTCATATTTTTGTTCCAAAGATAAGAATTGAGAAGTATTGTAATGATTACTCAATCAAGACAAACCATCAAGATACCTTATAATTTCTGCATGCAGGGCACCTGCAAGACAAATACTAATATTTAAGAAAGGAATAATAAAATGAAATGACTTGCTTATTTGCTATTGTTGATGTAAATTAATTTACTTATTTTACAGTTTTGAGGGCAGCAAAAATGACAACATTTGAAATACGGAAAGGACAGTAAAAGAGCGGAAATTTGATATTATGAGGAAAAAAATCGTACAATGAAACCATTTCTCAACCCAAAATACATAGCATTTCTTTCAATTTGAATGATAACAGAAAGGGGAACAGGAGAATGTGAATGAAAATTCTTTTAATATATAACTCAATTGCTAAATCTAACCAGAGAATCTTAACTATTAAAATGTTCAAAAAGATTTTCCAGAAATGTAACTCTAATTCACCTATACCAAAATCCTTTTTTATTTTACCATTAAAATAATTCCGTAGGAAAAAAATTCCATGAAATTATTTTCCCTGGATTTATTTTGCATTGTATAAGAGAATAACCAAGTACAATCAGGCTGTCAATCAGAAAATTTTCCCCATAGGCCTCACATAGCATGAGCACTATTTGTGCAGGAAACAGGTAGATAGGTGATACTTTGCAAAAAGTATAAATAAAAAATCATCAATGGTCAAATCCCAGATGTAAGGAAACTGCCAATAACTTCTCCGAGTGTTGACTCATTTCCTAACCAGTCAGATCCTTTCATGTTTCATCAATTAATAATGCTTTAGTTCAAACATTTGTCGTGACAAATTTATCAGTTCATCACCATAAAATGCTTGTTTCATGCTATTCAGCTATTGTCCTCAAGAAACATGTTGGGTAAACACAACTTTCGACCTCTTCCAGAATCACGAGCTATGAAGACTCAATCAAATAAATAGACTTTGCATTATATAATTCAATGAACATGCATCTCATTTCACTCGATCCAGTTGGGACTACTTCACTCTTCCTCACTTATGAGAAGCCTTTCTTTCTTGCTTCAAAATGAATGGCTCCAACTTCTACTTATACTTCTCACAAAAGGGTAGAGATTGACTTTCTCTAGAATCTTCCACATACCTCTCTACATTCTAGATTCTTTCAAGAAGCCTCCACGAGCTTTTATGATCTTCTGACTCCACACTTATCTAAAACACTCTAGACTACTCTAAAACCTTCCACACACTTCTAGAGATTTCTACATTTCTCTAGAGACTAGAATATTCTAGAAAACTTCACAATATTCGACACACATCTAGAGTTCCGATTGAATTTTAAGCTGAAATTTTGTGAACATAATCTACACTTCGTGAAGAACATTCTCACAAATTTTCATTGAAAATTCGACCTGAACTACCTCAAACAGTAGCGGCCGGATGGAAGGTCCTTCCGGATGGCTGGATGGGATGTTTTTCCTACGTATGATTATGTATGCATATAATAAGATAAATTTCAATTAAATACGGGAAAATGAAAAAAGACATTGAAACTGACCAGTGAGCAAAGAACTCAACAATAGCGTAGGTAGCTGGAGTCTCTTTCAGAACTGTATCGAAGTTCGTGGCATTCAATTCCACGGCGTAGTCGTGCTTCCCCCCACGGCTGTCATCGCTGATCGTCCGGAGAATGGCTCGATGGGATCCGGCCGAAACGAATACAGATGCTCCAGAGCTCCAAAGTAACAACAACGAAAGTGTAACCAAAATTGAAGGAATCATATGTATATGTATATAATCTCAAGACTTGGTGGTGTATCGTGCATTAAATTCGAATCCTATCTGTTCTGGGTGGAGCTGAGAGTTGAAGAGCCAAAGATGGCGACGAGGGCAACACTTCTCCCAGGAAAAACACTGTTACTGTGGCGATTAATTTAAGAGAAATTTACCCTCTATATTACTAAAAGTCATCATCTTTCTCATTATATGACTTGTATGTTTTTTTCCTAATATGATGGTAAATATGATGGTACATGTCATGATATCCATATCATCCGGGCCTTTTTTTTATTTTTCATTCCACAGTTGCCCTTGTACAGTACGTAAACATATTAAAGAACGAATAGCTCCTTGTTTTATGCATATTAAATTGCTTCCATAATTATTTTACATTCAAGATCCCACTAAACTAGGTAACCGAATATTCTAATTATTCTCATGCTACACATCCATTCTTTTTTTTTTAATCTACACGTTCCATTCTTTCTCTTCTAATTTTAATTAAGCTACCCATCCATCATTCTTTCTCTTCTACAATTTTGGACAAAAGACTAATTTTTTCATAGAGTGCAATGAATTAGTTCATTTAATGCATGAACGTATTAGTGATAGTTTATATAATGCACTGTCTATAATGCAGTGAATTTGAATGTATTAGTGATAGTTTATGTAAAATTTATGTAATAAAGATGAATTTTTTCATTTAATGCAATGAATTGGTTCATTTAGTGCAATGTAATGCATGAATTACACACCCCCAATCTTCTTAATAAAAAAATGTAATAAAACTGATTTATTGCATGTATTTTATAAGTTAATTAATAATTGCACTACACAAACCACAAAATAATGAAGTATCACACTATTTAGTACGGTATATTAGTGCAATATTGTAATGCCATCATTAAAAATCACTGCACTCAAAGCATGAGCAAGAGGAAAAAGAAAATTTTTCATCGTATTGTTAGATCTGCTTCTCATCAAGTATGTGCTAGCTCTTTCTATTCCCTCTTTTGTTTATGGGGTGCACACCGTTTAAATTGGCAGGGAGGGTATAGTTTTTTGTTAAACCATTATTCATTATTTTTGTTCCTAAAAATATGGGATCACCCTACTTTCTCTCCATCTTTAATTATGCATTTATGGCTTTGATTCTTTCCTATTCTGAAAAGCACTATGTGAACGTATGTTTAAGGTCAAATTTGTCTTTCAATTCTCCTTGGTTTTACGGATATAATTGTTTTGATCTCATTAGAGTCATAAGTTGGGAAATAAACATACTTGGTCATATTTTGGAAATTGTAATGAGTTTTAGTCATATATAGGTATTTATCCCTTAATTTAAACCGTCTTCCAGGATCCAGCAGTCAAAATGAGCATTTTTTTTATGAGAGGATTTCAAAATGAAGAATAAAAACATGAAAAATGTCTTGACACCTTTAAGATGTTTTCTTTTGGACTGAAATTTGATGGTCTGGTCTGGTAAACGTCTAATCTTTGTGTATTTTATAACTACAGAAGTCAAGTCTGGTCTGGTCTGATCTGGTCTGGGATTGAAAACAGTCCAAAAGAAAACATCCTTAGTGTGTTTACACACAAAAAAAAGATATATTGAATTATGAAGTTATAATTAACTAACGAAAATATGTTTTGTTTTTAACGTGATACTTATTTATTATCGCGGCCCGCACCGAAACAGTGCTTTACCCCTAGATGTCCACTCAACTGTTGTGCCTCAACGCATTTCGGGGATCAAAATTCGTTCTATACATATGACCAACAACGAGAAAAAGAAATGTAATTGCTAAATGATGGTGTGCCATATCAGTCAACCATAAACTTCGCGTTTGTATATGCTTGTTCAGCTAATTCAATAGCTTTTTTCATTGCTTTTCGAAAGGAAACTCTTTTCTTTAATTGTCCAGCTATAAATTCGGCAAGAATATTAGGATTTCCATACGGTTTTTCACCGCATCCTTGAGACCTTCCGGAATATATCAAATAGTTATCTGGGAGGATGTAAATTGAGCTTTGATCTCACCCTGAAAAACTTTCAGGGAGTTTGATTTCACTTCAAGTCATTGCTTGGAGTTGTGGCTACTAGGGTTTCATCTCTTTCTTCTTTATTTTTTGAAATCTAGCATTGTCACTTATAGAGTAATACAGTGAGGTCAGAGATTGTTGTGCCACTTACCGAAATAGGAGTACAATTACCATGTCAGTGGGGCAATTGGCCGGAGGTGACAGTCTCCAGTCTCCGGCTAGAGATGGTTGTGAGTCACTGTTACAATTGTGAAAATAGATCACTGTTGATAGTGGTCATCACCATTGATGGTCTCTGGACAGACGAATATAGTCATTGATTTGATTGGCGACAGTAATCAGTCAGACGGGGTGGCCACGGGGTGGTCACTGGGCATGCGGTGGTGGCCGTTGTCATTGTCGTCAGTGGTGGTCACTGTGATGTTGATCACTGAGGCAGTGGTTAGTGGGTGTTGGTCACTAGGGGATGATAACTGTGAGCCCCTATATCGTACACCCGGGTGTACGTATATCCGGCCCAATTATTAAATTTGACTTGTGGGCTTGCATCTTGTCCCAACGAATCACAATCATAAGGAACTGTATTCCTTCACTAAAAAAATTAAAATCCCCAACGGGATTCGATCCCCAGACCCGAAGTAAGGTATGCAGCCTTCCAACCATCTCACTGACTTTTATTGTTGAGATAATTAGATCTTTTATCTTACTTATCCTATATAGTTTCATACTGCGTTTTATTAATAGTAATTATAATATTAACTATTCTTTTGCTTTTGCTCATTATTACTATATTAAAAGACTAATTCATATTTTTGAAGTATTTATTTGATCTATGAATCATACTATTACTTTATATAAATATATTTATAATTTTTTTATATAGTGTTAGGTTCCTAATAAGCCTGATGCTCATCAAAAGTGTTTTAATGCTCATAATATAGGTGTGATGAACATTAAAAGTTCATTAATGCTCATTTAACAGAAACTGTGATTTTCATCGCAATAGAAACTGTGATTTTCATCTCATTGATATGACATTGTAAAAATGAGCATAACATGAGTACCAAATGAAAATACATAACTTAATTACAAAGTGCACATTGATATGAAAATTGTAAGGTTTGTTAGTTGAACGTCATGACATTTTAATTAAGCATCCAACCTCCACTATTGAGATGAAAATCACGACTTCTGGAGAATGAGTAATAATGAACTTTTAATGAGCATCATTCCTATTCTGTTGAACTTACTGAATACACAAATTGATATTTAAGCATACTCGAGATTTTAAATGAGCTTTTAAAATTTTTCTATGCTCATTTCGTAAATTAGCTATACTCATTTGATATTGGTGTAATGCTCATTTTAAAATGAGCATTACACGAGACAACTTAAATGTCATATCCATGCATATTGGCGTAATGCTCATTTTGAATTTTTTGATACTCATTTCACACGTTATGTATTCACATTTAATATTTGATCATCAAACATCCGCTATTGAGATGAAATTCACGATTTCAGGTGAATGAGCAATAATAAACGTTTAATGAGCACCATACCCATTCTGTTGAGTATTAGGAGTCTAATATTGAGAATCGTGATCTCCGCTTCATAACTTCTAATTCACTTTCTTTTTGTTATTTTTTCTTTTATAAAATCTTATTAAATTATATTTATAAATTATAATCAACTCCTGTGAATTTCAATATGTGAATTAATGTAAAATAGTACTTTAAAAAATGCATTGATATGACATTTAGAAAATGAGCATAAGATCTCTATCAGATGAGCATACGTAACTTACAAAATGAGTATTAATGAATTTGTTAGCTGCTTTGTTATTCGAACATCACGGCATTTTCATTGAACATCAAACATCCTCTATTGAGATTGATGAAAATCACGATTTCTGTAAAATGAGCATTAATGACTTTTTATTGAGGATTCGACCTATACAAATGAGCATATGTAACTTACAAGATGAGCATTGATATGAAAATTGTAAGTTTTGTTCGTTGAACATTTACACACGCATTGATATGAGCATAAAATTAGTACCAAATGAGCATGTGTAGCTTACACAATGCGCATTGATAAAAAAATCGCGTTAATTGGACATCACGATATTTTCATTGAGCATCAAACCTCCTATATTGAGATGGAAATAATGATTTGTATTAAATGAGCATTAATGAATTTTTAATGAGCATCAGACCTATACAAATGAGCATATGTAACTTACAAGATGAGCATTGATATGGAAAGTGTAAGTTTTATTCGTTGAGCATCAAGACATTTTCAATGAGCACCAAACCTCCGTTATTGAGTATTAGAATCTGCGATTGAGTATCATGATTTGTGGTCTCATGTCTATAATCAACTCTTATATAAATCTAATAATGTAATATGAGACTTTTGAAATGTGCATTGTTAAAACATTTTAAAAATGAGCGCAACAAAGATACTAAATGAATATACATAATTTACAAGAATGAGTATTCGAAAATTCAAAAGCTCATTCATGTATGTTCATTTTTTAGGCGTTTTACTCATTTGAGTAAGGTAAAACTCATTTCTAATGTGCTCGGTATAATATATATAAAAAGAAAAGAAGTAAACAACAAATAAAGAAAGTAAAAGAAGTAAAAAAGAGAGAAAGTAAAATCAACCATCAAAAGTAAAGAAAATAAAAAACAAAAAGACAAAGTAAAACATAAAAGAAACGAAGCAGTTCAACCAAAAAAAAAACGAAGCAGCGAATGAATACAAAAAAAAAGAGTAAGGAAGCAGCGGATAACACATGGATGAGCCGCTGAAAAAAAAGGGGAATTAAAAAAAAAAGCAGCGGCCAATGACGAGCGTGAGTGGAGCACGGAAGGAAGAAGCTCAGTCTATTTAATTACAAAAAAACCGGGTGTACATACACCCGGATGTACCATATAATTTGCGGATAACTGTGGCATTGATCATTGGCACGATGTCGATTGAAGTCATTGTCAGAATTAGGAGTAATTTAGTAAGTATAATGCTCATTAGTTACGGTTTTGGAAATTAAAAAATCACTTTTTGTCCATAACTTATTTTTAATCATGTGTATTACCTAACCCGACACATTGTCGCTTTCTTTTTAAAGAAAAAATGGTGGTTGATGTTTGATGGATAGTCTACCCGG